GAATAAGGAAGGCCGAGAAGAATCGATGCATTTGAATTATGATACTGGCCAAGAATATTCAAAGTGCTGTGGACTGCCAGAAAAACAAGCAAGTCTGTCTTAAAAGAAATGCAACCAGAATGACCCTAGAAGAGAGTGGGGTGAGCTTCCGCTAACACACTTTGGGCATGTTATCAGAAGGGGTCAGACCCTAGAAAAGGGCATGGTGCTTGGTAACGTAGAGGAGTGTGCAAAGGGAGACCTTTGCGAAGATGGGCTGACGCAGGGGTTACACAAGGGGCTCAAACATGAGGTGAGGATGGAGCGGAACCAGAAGGTGGTCGTTGCATTGTACACGGGTCTCTAGGGATCCGAGCTGACTCTGTAGCACCTAATAAGAACATGTTTTTAAGGCGCCCAAAAGGTGCAGTGTGTAAGTGCTCAGCTGCTAACCAAAAGGGGATTCAAACCCACCAGCAACCCCACAGGAAAAAGATGTTACAGTCGGTAAAGATGTACAGCCTTGGAACCCGATGGGGGACTTCTACTCTGTCCTGTAGGGTTACTATGAGTCAGGTTTTGTTGTTGTTGTTTTTAATTTTGCGTCTCTTTAAAATAGATTGATTTCTCTAAGTCCAGAAAGGTCTTTCTTTTCCAGTAAACACTACCCTAAGATGAGATGCTGATAGTGATGCGTGTTTAAGAAAACAGTAGCTCAGATTAATTGTGGATAACAAATGTGGTACATACCAATGCTTAAAACAACCAAGCTCTTGTTATTCTAATAATAAAGTTAATTTTAGGTCCACAAGGCTATTCAACAGCCAGACAGTGCTGTTCTGTCCGTCCTGCTACCGATTCAGAAAATACTGCTGCCACGATAAAATACAGATCTGTTAACAATCACTTTGATTAACTAGCAGTTGCTTAAAGCCCATGTGGGCTGATAACGATCTTCGTTACCTCATTGTTACAGTCAAAAAACAGGACGAAAGATACATCTGCCTTCCCATCCATAGTCTTGTTCCAACCTTGAAGGTTGTCTTGGTTTCTTGGAAATCCATCAATCAAGAATTTATTCTTCTGGACATTAGCAGTCATTGTCTGATCCATTTCCTAAAGGAAAAAAGAGGGAGTTAGCTTCAACACTACATTAAAAATATATAGTTATAGTAAGCAGGGTGCTGGATTATAGGATGTTTGTTCTATACTGTATACCACAGGTAAAGATTGAAGGATGCTAGAAGAAATAAACAACAACACTTGAATGTGCTAATTTTAATAAGGTTGTCCCAAGTTGGTGGAGTTATAGGGGTATGTGTGGGTTTGTGTACATGTATAGGTTTGTATATTTTACTTCCAAATTTTCTACAATAAACAGAAGTGTCAATACAAAAGTAAGTTTTAAAGTCACTGTTTTGAAAATAAAATCAAGCATTTAGTATAATTTACTTATATGGATAAACCAATACAAAATATACATAAGACAATGAAGACTACATTAGCAATCTATGCACATATAAAATAGGGGCTGGTTTGCACATACAGTTGCGTGTTATGTAAGCAGCAAGTAAATAAATGTTCATGAGAAATGTAGTTTGAATTCAAGGTTCTCTCAGAAATGACACCTTTCCGATGTAGACTGAGATGATTACAATCTATGTGAAAGTATGTGACCCATTGATGGTTGACTATAACAAACTATCCCTGCTTTTCTCTAAGTGATGATCAACAGACCATCAATGGGTCACACACTTTCATATACACAAAGTTACTGATAAATAACTTTGCTCTAGCCACTGGAAACCTTACATTGCCTTCCTCTTTCCTCTTCTGAAGTCCTTTTGCTATGCTAAGAAATACACTATTCCTACCAGTACCCAACTTGCAATAAGCGTGATACAAATATAGTGTCAGCATTAATTATTAGTGTTGCAGTTAATACTTCTCCCCTCAATGCTTAAACTGTTTCCCTGGTTCTTCAAGGGGAAAAAACGGCTGTGAGGACCCCCAATTCTTTATCTGAGGAGAGGCTTTATCTTAGCATCTGCTTCCCCTCAAGTATTCACAGAAGCTTCTACTGGATGTTTTTGAGCCCCCGTGATATGTCATTTCTGCCTCAACTCTGGCAGTCGAGGGTATCTGAAGGAGGCATGTCAGTGCCGACCCACTCACACTGACTGAAGGCCTAGTGTCAGGCACCACGAAGAACGAGCGCTTGGCTCGCATTCCTAAGGGGGACAACCACAACAGTGACAGCTCAAGATGAAGCAACTGGCTAAATGCTTGACTGCTAATGGAAAGCTTAGCAGTTCAAATCTACGTAGGAGCACCTTGGAAGAAAGGTCTGGTGATTTAGCCCCTGAAAATTCTATGGAGTACATGTCTACTTTGACATACCTAGGGTACCAAGAGTTTGTCTTGGTTTTAGTAGCGGTGTCGAGGTAAGTAAAAAACTTAAAGAAGATATGAACTAAATTAATAGAGAAAGGAAAGTAGACGATTAGGAGAAACATAACTGGAACGATCTGTTCACTGAATGGATGTGGAGAAAGGAGATGGAAGAGAAAAATTTAGGATGGGTTGGAATTTGTGGTCTGGTTTCTTCTCTTTCCTGGGAAGGTTAATAGATGGCTTAGTTAGCTCAGTAGATGGCAGAATCATTAACCAGGGCAGAAAATACAGGAAGATCATATTTTAAAATACAGCAAGCGGATTAGGTCCAAGAACAAGGAGAGAAGATTTACTCTGGAATGAAAACAACTCTCTCCAACCTATGAGGCATGAGAGTTGTTTCTTCATCGCTACATGGCTCTGGTTTGAACTGAAAAGAGAATGGGAGGTGGAGGGGAGGTGGAAAAGTTGTAAGAGAACGATTGTCTGAAAATTCGGAAGGAACAGTCAAGTGCTCACAGTCAAGTCTAGGTGCTTACACAAGGCTAAGCCGAAAATCTTACTAGGGCTCCAGTTCATACCTGCATGAATCTATCTCAAACAACATGCTTAAACATGTCTGTATGACTCCTGGATGGCGGCAGACAAGTATTCTCAGGAATACATCTGTGGGGTCTTGCTAAAGTGTCTTCAAAGAATCCCTTCCACACAGCGACTTCTGAAAAGATCAGCTGGGCCAGTTAAAGGAAAAGCAGAGACGTCAGCTCAGAAGCTCCAGGAGGACCACAGGGCTTATTCTGACAGTCTGAAGAAGACAGAGAACCGCGCTGGAGAGAAAAAGGCAGGGAAGCCGCGCTATGACAGTAATGCACCCCTCCTCCTTCGCGGACTGCCAGGGCTCTCCCGGAGAATTCCACCCTACAGCCTCTTCTTGCCCCTTTCTGACTTCCTTTTGTTTTCAAGACTCAAAGAACATTTAAAAGGAACAAGAGTCGAGTCCTTTGATGATGTCAAAACCTCCACTTTGATAGAATGTAAATCAGAGGGCACAGAACTCTCTGGGGAAGAACTACCCCAACCAACCGTCATGTAGTTGATGCCAACACATAGCCACCCTGTGGGGCAGAGCAGAACATCCCTGTGGGTTTCCTAGTCTGCCTTGTTTTTCTCTGGCAAAGTGGCTGGTGAGTTCAAACTGCTGACCTTGATGACACCAGGGACCGAAACACCTCTTTCAGAGGTGAATGGACTTAGAGGGAGAATGTATGCAAAGACAGTCACTTCATATTGTGACATCTTTAATAAGTTCCTATAATTTTGTAGCAATACTTTTTCATTTACTCTCATTTATCTCTTTCTCATCAGGCTTTAGCTAGTGCTTGTTCCCAGTCTTGCGTTTCTCCTTCACCACTTCTGTACAAAAATACCTTCTCAGGAAGAAAAAGAATGTTTGGAAACTGATTGTGGTAGCAATTGTACATGGAATAACTCCCCATTCATAATAAATAATTTTTTTAAAAAAGAAAGAAAATAGCTTCCAATCACTGTAGTCTTAAGAGTCCATAGGGGAAAGTTGTCGACTCAATGCGAGAGACTGTGTTGTGGAGAGGACAACCCTATTCATCTTAGGACTCATGATAACGATGGGAAACCCACACTGGAAATGCAGGCATCCAGACGGAAAGAGTTTCAGCAGCTGGTGGGCTCCAAGGCTTGAAAAGGAAAAGGGGAAAAAAGGCATACAAGAAAACTAAAAAGAGGCCACGGGGTCGGGGCGAGGGAGTAGAAAACAACTGTCATGAATCTCTCGATGCTGGAAAGGAAGAGGTCAAGTGTGCAGAAAGGCGTGGATGTTAAATTGAGCTAGACCTCATCCCAGACCAACCTAGAGTGTTCTTGCGACTACTCAATAATAGCATTTATTCCCAAGTGGGAGCAGGATTTTCCGTTTTACCATCCTCAAATGGCATGACTTCCTTCTACAAGGAAGACATTCAATCCCCTGATTTTTTCCTTACTCAAATAAAAGGTAGACATAATTTTGTCTTCTTGCTGGTTGTAACTGGTCACCACTCGCACTCCTTACCCTTTTCAACAAGCTGATGGTTATCTCAACTGGTACAATCTTTCCTTCTTTGATGCACTTTTCAATGAGTTCACCATACTGGGAATCCGGGTTCTTTCTCTCATCTCGAAGAAGTTCTCCTGCAGAAAGGTGTGTGTAGCCATATTTCTGAAAGACAGATAATGAGGGAAAATCTAAACCAAAATATAACCAACCCAGTAATAGGATTAGTGATTTTCATCCTTTGCTAATTTGTATATTCTATTTTTATATAATAAACATGTTTATCTGTATGCTAACTAAATAATAAATGTAAGAGAGATTTCACACATTTTGCTTAACACAAATCTTTAATTTACATAGCATGTAGTAGTTTTAATGTTTATACACCAATAACCCAAAACCATGGCGAGTTGTTTCCACTAATACTCCTATGGAGCAAGGGTAGGGAAACTTTTTACTGCCAATGCCATGCAGGTATTTAAGATATCATTCTTGGGCTGCAATGATCACACATTTAACTAGCTCACCCTTAAAGTGATGGTTGGCCCTAGTTCTCTTTGGTGAGGCATGTGACATTGCCAGGAATTAATGATTTTGCAGGCCTATACGCCCCACGGGCCAGACATTCCCAACCATGCAGAGGGTTTGCAAAGCTGTACATTTTGACTTCAGCAGACAGCCTCACCTTTCTTCTGTGGCTAGTGGGTTTGAGGCACCAATCTTTTGGTCAGCAGTCCAAAGCTTACTGACTACCATTACCAGGGCTCCTTATATACCATGAGATCACCCTCAAACTCGTTGAACTATTCAAGAAGGATTAAGAATTTAACACTGACATGATTTCTTGTTCCTTGATGCCTGACACCCGATCCCTCCAACAGCTCGTGGTCACACATGCTGGTGTGCTTCTTCCATGTGGGCTTTGTTGCTTCTGAGCTAGTTGGCCGCTGTTTACCTTCAAGCCTGTAAGACCCCAGACGCTATATCTTTTAATAGCCAGGAACAAGAAATCATGTCATTGTAAAGGTGGGTGAGTGCAGAGTGGAGACTCAGAGTCCATCGGTAGGCAACTGAACACCCCCTTGCTGAGGGGTTGTGGGGAGGAGATGAGCCAATCAGGGTGCAGGGTAGCAACGATGAAACATATAACTTTCCTCTAGTTCTTAAATGCTTCCCCCCCACTATCATGATCCCAATCCTGCCTTGCAAATCTGGCTAGATCAGAGGATGTACATTGTACAGATAGCAACTGGAAACACAGGGAATCCAGGATAGATGACTCCTTCAGGACCAGTGGTGAGAGGGGCAATGCCTGGAGGGTGAAGGCAATGTGGGGTAGAAGGGGGGAACCAATTACAAGAATCTAAGTATAGCCTCCTCCCTGGGGGATGGACAGCAGAGAAGAGGGCGGAGGGAGACGTCGGACAGTGTAACTTATGACAAAACTATAATAATTTATGAATTATGAAGGGTTCATAATTCATAAGGAGTGGGAGGGGGGAGGGAGGTAGAAAATGAGCAACTGATATTAAGGGCTAAAGTAGAAGGCAAATGTTTTGAGAATGATGAAGGCAACAAATGTACATATGTGCTTGACAAAATGTATGTATGTATGGACTGTGATAAGAATTGTACAAGCCCCCAATAAAATAATTTTTAAAAAAGAATTTAATACATAATTAGCAGCTCACTATACAAGGAGGCGATCTGCTTTTGTAAAGATTTATACTCTTGGAAACTGTACATAGGGTCATTACAAGTTGGAATCAACTCAGTGGCATTGGGTTTGGTTTGGGGTTTGGCTTGTACTTTCTGCAGTTTTTCTAGAAAAATAAAACTGATCTAAAAAATAAGGTGTATTTAAGACAAAAATAAAATCTAGCTATATAATTCAAGGCAAAAAAAAATTCTAAATGTTACCACTATTGACTAATTCTTTAAGTGGTTTTTATTGCTTCCAAAGAATAACAGTTAAGTAATCAGCAAAGGAAAATAGAGCTATGTGCTGACTAAAATTGTATAAAGTGTGATGAGGATAAATATCCCTGTCTCTCTTTGGCTGCTTCCTTACCACTAGAAGAAATGACTGAAAGTATTTAATTGTGATAGACTTTTTTTTTAATCACTAGAATAGAAATAAGTACAAAAGTGTTTTAGGATTTTAAAATTATTTTCACATCATTCATAAATTGCTACTCTGTTCTCCCAATATAAGCAAATTTTGAAAGCTAGAGACAAGAAATGGCTTTTTAAATGAGGTAGGACCTACTATTAAAAATGGCATTGGGCCCTGGAGACTCAGCATTAGCATCCCAAGGCTGAGAGCGCTGAGGAGGGACCTTCTTACCGATTCTGACACCAGCTACCCCCCTCTCTCTGTTTATAAGGGATCTGAACAGGTGCTGCTATAGCCACCCAGAACTTACACACCATACTGTGAGTTATACTGTTCACTATGGAAGTAGCAAGTTACAATTCAGGATTAGGACTGCCTCAGGATACAGTTCTCAGGTAAGGACAGCTTCTCAGCTGCGCCCACCAGTAAGCCTCTCTACCTGCTCCACAGACTGGCTTCTGCCCTGCTCAGGCAAGTGTTACGAAGTTCTTATAGCTCTGCTGTTAAGTGCCAGGAGGTACCCCTCCCATCCACCAGCAAGTCTCCTATCTGAAGACACTCAACTCTCTTCCTCCATGGGTTGGCACACCCATGGTAGCCACCTCACTCCAAGGACTGCCAAGCTTACTATGCCATCTTGCACCAGTCTGCTGACTATGCTGCTGCCATTTCTCTGCCATTGCTTCTCGCCATCCTGAGCCATCTTCTGGATTACAGTTCTCTCACTATGTATACCTGGGTCAAGGAGGGTTCAGCACAGGGTGCTCAGGTCTAAAGTACACACTCCATCCTGGCTCTTCTTTCTTCGTGGCAGTGAAGTTCCCCTTTCCACCTCCAGGATGGCTCATTTGAAGCCAACCCTTTCAGTCTAATTCTATAACTTTATTCGCATGGCCCCAGCCCTACAAGGATGCCATATCATTAGTAAACTTTCCAATCCCCTTGGTGGGCCACAGTTCCTAGTTTAGCATAGTTGCGCCTAATCACTTAGGAGGAGTTACAAGACTATGCAGAAAAAGCAATCTTACCATACCTACTTTCCCACATTTGATATGTTTTTTAAAAGCATTTTGCAGCTACTGTCCACAAAATTTCATAGCAGCTTCATTTTCCCACTGTTTATCTTGGCTCTTGGTTGGTAGTCAGGCTATACTTGCCTGATGCTCTAATCTGGTCTAGTGATTATAGCATATGGTACTATTGAATAAATGCTGAAACAAACTACTAAATGGCAAATGCTCACAGTGAAATACCAACAATACAGAGTGTAACACTGCTGGATGAATAACATATATACTTAGAAGCCTAGCTAGTAATTTAGAAATTAGTGTACATGTTATCTGTTTGCTAACAGATAGTGAGCTCAAATGAGCAAGCTTTCTATTGCATTAAAATGGAGTTTTAGCATTTTAACAAGTTTATATATTTTTAATTTTTTAAAAGTAGTTATAAACTATCTAAAAAAAAAAATCAAACCTATTGCCATTATGTCAATGGTGACTCATCGCAACCCTGCCAGACTGCCTATAGAGCCGCCCCTGTGAATTTCTGAGACGGTAACTCTATAATCGAGTAGAAAGCCCTGTCTTTCTCCTGTGGAGCGGCTGGTGGTTTTGAACTGCCCATCTTGTGTACTGTAGTCCAACATGTAAACAGTCCACGGCTCCTCAGTTATAAACTATGGAGGCATACAACTGATATTTTACAAAACAATTACACAATTTGTCAGGAAGAGGGAACCATCTTACCCACAAGTCCAGGGAAACCAAGAGTTTAAGTATGATCCTGCCGGGTGTTTCTTTTTATGTCTCCTCATAGTCCACGGCTTAACATCATCTATTTACCAGCGATACTGTTATACTGTGTGTTTACTTCCCTGAGGATTTTGTGGAAATTTCCTCTCACCACAGTTTCAATGACAAAAAATAACAGCTGTCATTTACACACTAGTTATTATGGTATTGAATAACAACTACACTTTAAAGAGCATTTAATGTGTTCAAAGCATTCTACCACCATTAAGTAGTGACTGATGCCAAATTTGAGGAAAGAATATTTTTCCAGTCCTAATCAAAACTTTTCTTACATTCTCCGTAAGTTCCTAGCAATTAAAACTTAATAGGTCACTAACTACAGTCTTAAAGCAACATTCAAAACCACAGCAAGTTATAAATACTATAAACTACAGTAACTATAATTACCAGCTACTCTTCAACTAAAAACAGCTTTTCTAATGACAAAAGTATAAACCCAATTCCTTTAGAGTAACTGTCTCAAAGTTTTACTTTCATTTTTTCCTAAGAAGTTTGCAGCACACAACTCAATAACCTTCACAAATGACACCGTAAGAACTGGAATGGGGAGAAGCACCGTGTTCTTACTGAGTCCAGCATGGCACTCTATTTACTACAAGTAGGCAACTGGTGACCATTCTATGAAATCAAATCAAAGACAATCTTGATTAATAAAGCACTTGCATTTTAGCATTTCCTCCTTCTAAATTCAAGTAATGTGCTTGATTCCTCTTCCCATATGGGTAACAACAGTAAAAAATAAAATAAAACAATAATAAACAGTATCCAGACTACAGAAGACACATAACCCGCAAGTCCTTGGAGGCAGGAAGAGATGCAGATGGCAGAGCACTCTTCCTGCTGATGTGGCAATCAGAAAATGCCACTGGATTACTCCTGAGCCTCCCATTACAGTGAAAAAGAGATACCGGATACAAATTTGTATACGTTGTTGAAACTACTGGGTGTTCTTTAGCTAACTAACACAATTATGAAGCATTGAACACTAAAAAAGCATGAACTTTAAAATCTAGATGTTGGTTACGTTCTCTCAACACCAGAACTGTAGCAGGGACTATGTTTGGATTGCAAACAGGATGGTTAGAGACCACAGCATCCCAACTACACCCTGTGTGCTCTGGATAGCCTTTGTTATGCTCGCTCGCTTGCTTGCTCGCTCGCTCGCTCGCTCACTCACTCACAGCCATCAGTCCATGCTGACTCTTAGCGACCCTACTCACTCACTCACTCACTCA